GGTTATCCAACATCTTCTTTAAAACTTCCAGTGTTGAAGCATCCACAACTTCTGGAGGAAAGTTGTTCCACTGATTAATTGTTCTAACTATCAGGAACTTTTTCCTTAGATCTAAGTTGATTCTCTCCTTGATTAGTTTCCACCCACTGCTTCTTGTCCTGCCCTCAGGTACTTTGGAGAATAGCTTGACTCCCTCTTCTTTGTGGCATCCTCTGAGATATTGGAACACTGCTATCATATCTCTCCTAGTCCTTCTTTTCATTAAACTAGACATACCCAGTTCCTGCAACTGTTCTTCACATGTTTTGGCCTCCAGTCTCCTAATCCTCTTTGTTGCTCTTCTCTGCACTCTTCCTAGAGTATCCACATCTTTTTTACATTGCAGTGACCAAAATGCAGAATTCCAAGTGTGTCCTTACCAAGGCATTATAAAGTGGTATTAACACTTCACATGATCTTGATTCTATCCCTTTGTTTATGCAGCCTAGAACTGTGTTTGAGAAATTTCTGCTGGCTTCTGATGAGAGCTTGAGACTTCTGCTTCATTACTCACAGCAAAATATCCTCAAGAAGAAATATCATTACGGCAGCTTAGAATCAGCAGACAGGAAGGAAGAGAACTCATTTAAAGCTGCCTCATCTGGAAATGAATGACCATGCCTCCCATTCATGTAACCCCACCCCTTGACACAGAACAGGATTCAAACTCCCTGGTTAAAAATAATTATAACTTAGGTTCCTTTTCCTATGTTGGTCACTCTTTCCCTTCCTCCGTGTGATTTAATCCATGGAGCTCGCAGAAGCAAAGAAGCCAGAGAACTGCGCCTTCAAAACAAAACTTGGGTAAGCATGATAGCTTTCTCGATTTCCAGATATCTTGGATTTCAAATTTTCAGTCTAATAGGGAGATCCCAGCTAGTTTGGAAAGATGCAGTAAGGTATGTCTTGCTGATGGGGTGAGGATAATGTCAGTTTCCACCTTATGTGTCCTTATGCTTCACTGCTATGCAGTGACAGAGTGCCATGAACAGTAGGGAGAGGGAATGAAGGTGGGAAGGCTTGGGGAAAATGAAACTATACGTTGTATCTCCTTGAGATGCTGCCTCAAGGTCACCCAGCTGGAAGAAGGAGGGAGCCACATACCAAGCCACACTTGGACTGACCGTTATGAAAACATCTTGTGTGAACCTGATTGGTTACAATGGGGTGGTCAATGATAGATAGTTAATGGAGGTAGAGTATAACTTGTGAATTTTGGCATGCCATTCTCACTTCTGGCTTTGCAATAGTGTAATAAACTTGATCTCTAATAATATTTTTTCTCAACAAATGGAGCCACGGATCATTTCTATTCCGCAGTTTAAGTTGTGACGGGTCTGGCAGATTCCTGCCTTTGGCAGGAGTTTGGGCTAGAAGACCTCCAAGATCCCATCCAGCCCTAAGATTCTGTTTCTTTTAGCTAACAATACGATTTGACCAATAAATTTGGCACGTGTGTTCAAGACTACCGCCTGTCAGGATTCCAAATAGCATCCAAAAATAAATCAGAGTCCAAGGCAAAGTATTGCTCAGAGTTCCAATTTATTAAGAGAGCCATGTTAGCACATCTGGGAAAACCTGAATCTGAAAGCTTCCCAGTTGTTCCCATCCAGTTGAAAGTTCAAGACCTTGCCCCCATACCTACAAGCCCATCACATGGTCCAATCTTCCACTGCCATGTTGGCAGCTTCCACCCATCCAGTTCCGGTCAGGTGCAGAGGTGCAGAGACAAAGGATGACCTTGGCTTTC